AGTTTTACCATCTCTGGACACAGATTCTCTTCTGTATTTGAGAGTGTTGGTACATTTCTTTTTGCTGCATTTTCTTATTACCTTTTGAGGGCTTAATATATGTAAGTCACATCAAAGGTTAACTGTTCTTCATTGTTGAGTCTTTATTTGATTAATTCTCCCTTAAATTCTTCTGTGCTGGTTATCAATGTATGTCTTCTCATATGGTATTCTTACAACCAATTACAGAAAACAATCTTTGTGTTGGTGGGCTTTTTCCTTGAAATGTGGTACACAGCATCATTGTTATTCTTTATAGCTGAAACTGTTGTTAATATTGAAGGTACCTAACTGATGGTTCAATTTATTTTAATCATTATTGGTTTTTGTTTCCCTGTACATTGACTTAAGATGATATGTATTTTATGTAGTTCTTGTCAGTTTGTTTTATAACATAGGTTTCATTAAAGGCTACTTTTAAGTTCTGTTCTATACAATTATCTTAGTTATGATCAGAAGTTATTAATAACTACATCTGAACTATCCTTGAGTTGAAAAAACTTTAGCGATGTGCCTTTCTTCTTCTTTAGGTTGTATAATCATACAACGTTATAGTCAAATTTACCAGCATTTGCATCATACTTTTGTCAGTAGCTTACTTCTGTCTCTCACAGACAAACTCATAGATAGTGCCATAAGCATTTTTTCAGTGTGTTAAAAGTTTAGGTTTGCTCTTACTTACCTTTATAATGGTATTGATAAGGGTTGCCTAGCAACACTCAGTTTTCTTTGTTTGGATATAAAAAACAGCTAATTCTAAATCTCTAAATAATTTACTTCATCAACATTTGAATTTACACCATCATTATGATATGTGATGTCACGCACATCCTTCCTTGCATCTTCTTGAATCAAACTCACTAAAATATTTTCTATACCATCTTCAAGTTATTTTGAAGCACATGGTGTCTAGATTAGGAAATACTGCAGAGATTAGAAATTGTTTATCAATAGAGTTGACTACAATTCTACTTCTTACTTTTTCATCTTCCCATTTTAGCACAAGATGTCACACAGTTTAAGTATCTGTAGATTGGAAGAAGCTTCTATCTTGCTAAAATGGTTTTCATCTTCCTACCTGCATCCAGTATTAGTGCTCCTAGCATGAGCATACTGAACCATTCTGACCATTATCCTGTAAAGACAAATCTGGAATTTCTGCTTGCTTCACTTTGTTGTTGATTATTCTAGCATTCTTGACTCTTAATTTTATACTCAAATGTTGCAATTTCCAATAATGCATTGAAATTGTTTCATCACACCTATTGTGAAGCTGTTTTAGGAAAACCTTAAAACACAATCACGTTTATTCATGAATCCATTCCCAAGATACATTTCTTTCCTACATGTGTCATCTACACATTATATTATGCAGGTAAATTTCCAATAAAGAAATTGACCCTTAATTTTTCCTAAGCCAAAATCATAATTCCACTAGCAGTTTGCCTCAATGAATTCCCTTTTTTCATCTGTGTAAGCATTTTTACATCTGTACATGAAATCACTGTGATGTCCTAAATCCAAATACTCACTCCACATACAAAGCTGATAAGCAAAAAGGAGATGGCATTGGTACCTGCATGATTTGTGGGCTTGTGTGTGCTTTTCTTCAGTATATTTTCTCAATAAACCATTGTATATTTGTATCATATAACCTATATTTTACCATGATATTATAACAGATGAAGATAAAATATATCAAATTGACAATTAAAATACTTAAACTGGCATACCTGGTGTGTAATCTACCCAGAGGTGTAGAAAGAGAGTTAAAAGAGCCCACGATTTATTTGAATGAGCAAAGCATGCATTTTTCTGGAACAGGCTGGAGGGGGGGGGGGGGGCTAAGCCCCTCCATTTCCTATACCAATGCTACCTCACTACATAGGCCTATGAAGCAGAGTGTATATATATATATATAAATGTTTACCCTGAAAAACATCTACTATAAAAATGTTCCCCTGTTTTATGTTGATTATTACTCTGACCATATGAGATTTGTTGGTAAGTCACTGAGAGGAGGACACCTTTGATTTTCATACTGCACACTGGGAAACTGAATCTGCAGCATGATACCATACTTGCTATACATGACAGCTTCCAAAATAGTTGTAAGTAACTAGTGATTTATAAATCTTTATGATAGACTGATCAAATGCTTCAGGGTCAGGATTGGTGATTAAATAATTATATATGTTTCAAAATGTGTTATTTGGCCACTTACTGGGATTGTTGACCTTACATTTTGTCACAGCACTGGGGTCACTAACTGGAACCCAGTTGTCTGTTGCAGCTAACTTAATTAAGATTATATCATTATTTGGCATTCATATGAAAGTTTCTGTAGTAATTAGATGTTGCTGACTCCATACTGGGCCCTAGTATATCTAAACACCAATATAAAAAATGACACAGGGTACTTAGTAAGTAAAAATATTGTTATGACAGCGGAAGTCACGTGACGCTAGTAACACGTGATGAATTCCTCGAATGATCATGAATTATCGGGGAAGACCGAGTTTGTTCGAGACGCCCTCTTTTTTAGTATATAAGCCTGCGGAATGGAATGTAGAGAGTTCCGGGTAATTTACGATTCTGTTTCGAGCTAGTGTGTGTATTTTGTACTCTTAGAAAGCGAACTTATCGAGATTGTGAATCGCTGTGATCGAGAAAGAATAAACTGGTTTAATCAAGAAAGGACTTGTATAGCTGAACTTCCTGGAAAGAATTTCCACCGGAAATGAACAAACAAGCAGATATGTAACAATATCAACTGATTAATTATATTTTATTACAAGGTACGGCTTTTACAGTAAGTAAGATTTGTTTTTTAGGACAGGTACGAAGTTTGGATTACTGGTGGGATCATTTTCAAGTACACAAGTTTTAACGGTCTAACAAGAGTTGGCGGTGGGTGGTGATGACTGACTGTCTTTCCTCTAGTCTTACACTGCTAAATTAGGGATGGTAGCGCAGATAGCCCTCCTATAGCTTTGCGTGAAATTCAAAATAAACCAAACAATTTTAAAGCAAATCTGGCAACCCTGTCCTGATGTTCATTTAATTCATTTTTGTTAAAACAATCATTTTCGGTTCTAATACTATTTATTTAGTTTTAGTTCAGCATTCATAATTATCAGAGGCATATTAACCAATAGACTTTCAAGGCTTGGGCCTAGAGCGCAAAAATTTGAAGGGTGCATCTTAAGGATAAAAATGTCAAACCATTTTAATAACAACAAATTTTAAGCTATTTCATAGCATTTTAATTTATTGATGTTTGTGTATTGGTCGATAATTTTCCTGGTGAGTTATTCGAGAAGGAAGGGATGCATTTAAAACTGTGGGCCAGGAACGTCAGTGAACCTTAATGTGCCACTGATAATGATATTTCAATCATTTTAAATCCTTGAATCATTTTCATTTATTGATACAATGTCCCTCATGACCACAGTAATGAAAATCTACACTCATCTCTCCAGGTCACTGAACTATGACGTCCCAAGGCTACAGATAATGATCTCTCTACCCTATACAGGTTCACACTCACGAAACTTGAAAAGGAAACTAAACGCTACAATCAACAGAGTCTATCCACAAGTTCATCTTCAAGGTGTATTCAAACCGTTATTGAGAATTTATAATTTTTTCAGATTTAAAGATCGTATTCAGTTTTTTCAACAGTCATGGTATTTGTGAATTCTGCCCCCCCCCACCACCAACGTCGGATCGAATGTTAGAAAACTGGGGGCACGTTTTTAAAAGACACTAATCTTAGGTTCAAGGACAGTTCAAGTATTATTCAACATACGTTAAGTGAATGTGATATGGTCCCAACCCCCAAAATTTTCAAAGTAATCGGTAAAATCGAAAACAAAACTATGCTACTGGTGAAGGAAATGCTTCTAATCCTTGAAATGAAACCTGGATTAAACAAACAGCTACTGAACTTTTACTCGCAATTTAGGTAATTAACCTTTCTCGCTCAACTGTGAATTTATTAAATGAAAGTATTTTATGCATGTTTTTAGTTTTCACTAGATGACGCCAAATATTAAAAAGTTTTTTTAATAATTGTGGATTTGTACAAGATACGACGTACAAAGATCCATCACTGACAGTCATTCAGTATATTTAGATAACTTTGATATTATTGCATGCAAACTAAATAAAATGATGATAAATAATGCTGATTATTTTTAAAGACCCAAGAGTTTCACAGATAGCAATAAACAGGTTGATTTATTATGCCAAACAAAAAAGAGTAGTGATAGGTCCTACACATTGCTGAAAATGGACTTTTTCAAATTATTTCCTCACCTAGCAAAATAACGAGAGAGAAAAACAATATAAGGACATTAAATAAAACAACATATCAACAAATATATAAACTTTCAATTCATAAAAGCAATTTACTTAATTTATTCCTTGTCGATTATAAGTATAGACACATAGTCTTGAAGATATTGATTTTGGAACACAATCGTATGTATTATCTATAGACGTAATTAAATTATTGTGGCTTCTTTATATAAAGCTATAAAATTCATTAAATTATAAAGATTTGGAGAACTTTAAGAACACAAAGAAATTCGCAAAATTAGTACTAATTCATGAAACATTATTTTAATGTATTTATGGAAAAACCATCAGTGTTTCTGTGGCGAAATTAACAAAAATAGCAAATCAACAAAATGAAAACTAGAAATACTGCAAAATACTATTTGCCACAATAGTTTTTGTTTTTAAGTTTATTCAAAGTATTGTAATCCATTACTCGCTTTGTCATATAATAATTAAAGAAATCAATATTTTTAGATTTAGTATTAGGTAGTGGGCGAGTAGGAAGTTAAGCATAGTACAGAAGCCAAACTTCCGTAGTTAAATACAAGAGTTCAGTAGTAGCAGATGCGTATCTGTTGGGGTCGCCACAGTCGCTTTCTCTATACCCTACATACAGCACAGTACTCACCTGAGTAGTGCCGATTGAGGTAGGACAGGAGGCTAGGCGAAAGAACTGCGTACGTGGGAACTAGCGATAATATAGTGTAATACATCGCTTCATTTCGACGACTCATGATAGATTGTATTCGAAACTTAACTTTCGACCCTGGGCATCTTTTAAAGTGAGCCAGGAAAGCACTAAAAACGCCAAGATGTCCCACTCAAGGGATGTCATCGAGCAAAAAGGACCCAATCAAACCGTCTGTTACGACAGCGAAACGAATTTAGATGACCTCTTCAAGGCTGCGATGCTTCCGAAAGACAGCCAAGTGCAGCTAAGTGGGCCTCCTATGAGACTCCGAAACCTTCCGCGATCTTTTTTTCAGCCGCCTGAAGGAGGATCAAAATCTGCTTCACATAGCCGAGAATCAAGTTTTGAGGGAACATTTTCTCCACCTCCTCCGTCTTCCACTGGCCCAAATTCAATGTCTAAATCGCCAGAGCAACATACAAGTGGGTTAACTGTAAGTCATCGTCATACACATTCTTCTCCAGCATCACTGCAACAAACTTACAAGCAAAACACTTCCCAGCACCAACATTTGAGACAGCAAAGTGCCGACAGTACCGATAGTGTGTCTCTTCCTCCTGGATGGGAGATGGCAAAAACGCCATCAGGGCAGAGATACTTCATAAAGTAAGATATTCATTTTCGATATGTTAATTAAGTTACATGGAATTCAATTAACAACTAATATAATTTTTATGTAATCAAGTGTATTTTTCAACTTTGATCATTCTCATAGTACTGTAGCGTAGAATCTGACTCAAGTTTAATTTGACGATATTTAACAACTGAATTTTAAAATAATATATATGTGAGGCTTTTACAATAATTTACCTGAAGAAAAAGCATAAAATGTTTCATCGAAATTTAACACAGGTTCAGTAACAATTTAGTTTTGAAAGAACTTGCTCATATTAATCAATAAAATTTCATCTAAAAATTATTTATTTTTAGTAGGGCTTCTTTAATATTTATGTAGTGTTCAGAATTTGATTTACTGGATTCTGCTTTAATTAAATGTATGTGGGAATAAAGAATTTTAAGGAAGACCTGTTAATTTCATAGTTTCTGGATATTTGTGTGTTTATGTAATATTTACAGATAAAAGAAACTTAGACAAGTTGAGGGGTCTGTTATCTGTCAAAAATTTTGTAGTTTTTAATTAAAAATTATTTTTAATGTATGACAACTTATTAGCATTTGTATAGACTTATTAACTATAAATAAATTAAAAGTCAGTCAAATTTTAAATTCTTTGTTAAATAGATTTAAAAAACTGTTTGGATTTTTTACTCAATATTCTAGATTTGTTATAGTTACTTTTCAAGCATACTATTTAATCTAGAGTTATAAGTGTATACTCATAATAATTGTGGCTCAGCCACAAGCCTGAGGGTTTATATATATATATACATATATATTGCTAAAATTCTGGTTTCAACACCTGTGATGAGCGGAGCACAGGTAGCCCATTGTATAACTTTGTAATTAACAACAAAACAAATTATTATTTCAATGTAACTTGAATATTTTCAGGTAGAAACAGTGAAATGAAAGACTTGAGCTTACTTAAAGGAATGTTGTCAAACAACATTGTAATGTGAAGTTACCTTCAATGAATGATACTAGTGATATGTGTGTCAGGTTATTTAAAACTCGGCTAAGAAAACCTGTAGAATTGCTTAAATAAGCAGTTCAAGATCTTCACAACAATCAATTGATTGTTTCAGATATAGATTAAAAAGGTAACAAAACTGTGGACATTCCATATTATTAACATAATCTCAAGAGTCCTAAAATAATTAAATACTTTGATTTTTATTTCAGTTTTCTTCTAAAATATCAGTAAAAGTGCATATTACTGAATAATTTATTATTCAGTTCATAGATTTGTAGTTGGTTTGTCATTTTGCATTATATTTATGTCCAGATTTTATATTGCCATCACTTTGATTATTGGTATATTTTGTTCTGTGTGGTAGATTAATTAGTTGTTTATAAACTAGTCAAATAAAACATGTGATGTTTAAAAACGTAAGTAACAAGTTTACAAAACAAAATTAATGGATTAATTATATGAACAAAACCTGAGGATTAATGTTTTACATAATCAGCAATTTGACTTTTATTAAACTTTCAAGTTTTTCACATTATTGACCCAACAGTTTGGTAATTTCTTTCAGAAATTTAGCTAGAAGCTGCTGTTATTGTATTTTTTGTTTATTTTTAAGTATCACTCCTGGGTAATCTGAAAGTATAAACTAACTGTGCATGTTGTGGAATTTTTTTTTTGTCAAAGTATAATTGCAATTGCATGTAAAACCTTATTTAATTAAAAAAACAACAATTAATGTTTGTAAGTCATGCTTCTCTTTTCAACTTTATTATAGAATGGCTTAAAAGCACTTTTAAGTTTTCCTTATATTGTATAATGATGTACGGTAGCATATTGCATGTTAATGAGACTAATCACCACAATCTATTTTATATTAACTATTCCAAGATATTGATACCACTCTTATTGCTCTTGTCAAGCTGTTTAAAATAGAAGCTATAGTTTTTTAAGCCTCTGTGTAATTTCCTGTAAATACATCAATAACCAGTTGTTCCTAAATACCACTAACTCAGTAAACAAAACTAACATCAGGATGTTTGTTGCATATTATAGTTTCTATAGAACAACAACTAATATGTTTTTATATAGAAAATACTTTTAGTTCACTCAAGAAGGTTTCTGTTGGTAATATTTTTAAAATTTCCAAACAGTAATATAAAGTGACGAAGAATGCTACAAAGGTCATAGTACCATGTTAGCTGTGTCTTGATCTTAATTTATAACAAGTATAGACCAAATTTATAAGTTTTTGTGAAAGTTGTTCCAATCCAAAGAAAATAGTATGTTAATACTTTGTTAGCTGAGTCATTGTACTTTCAATAATTATTTGGTTGATCCAGATTATTTAATTAAAACATTGATTAGTTTTGCAGAAAATTATATATTTGTTTATTTTCTAAGAAAAGTGTGATCATTCTTTGTACATTCAAAGTTATTCTATCATCATGATGTAAATTAAGAACTGCAAAATTACAAAAGCATATATAAGCTTTACTACTGCTTTAGCATTTTTGTTGCAATTTGTTTTATTTTTATCTATTTGGAAGTTTATATATTAGTTTTGAAACAAACTCTTAAACCTGATAAGACTTTTAAGTTTAGAGCTTTGGGGGGGGGGGATAACATGTAAAACTTTATAGTTACTGTATCAGTATTTTAAAGGCAAAGAAATATTATAGATGATAGCATTACATTTGACTAGTTTAAACACATACAATATCCATTAAATTTCATCCTACTGAAACAAGACATTAATAACTTGTGTTCATTTGTAAAATCAAGCTACTATTGACTGTGTTATGGATCACAAGTAATGTATTTTTTGCAAGAATTGTCTTTTGAAAAATTGAAAAAAAAACTACTCAGGAGTAGCCTCTAAAATGTATTCTAATATTATTTGTTTTGTTTTTTACCAAATCCAGATAATTGTATCATTTTAAAATAACCATATATATATACATATAACTATTGTAGTTGTCATTAACTAACAGGCTTGTTTCTGGTTTGAAAAGGGCATTTGCTTGAAATGTTGCCAAGAAAATAAAATACAAACATAGTTTTTTTGTTTTTGTTTTTTTAAGGTGATTTATCTCCAAAACACAAGTTTCTTTATTTTATCACCTTTCCATTTTTCTACTTATATATATATATGTATTCTAAGTACTTAAACTTATATATATATATATATATATATAATTGCTTAAATATATTGTTTTTGCCAGTAGATAAAATATAACCTATAACCATTTAAATAGGTTATTATGAGTATAATCAATGATGCTTTGAAAATGTTACTAAAAAAATGTTATAATGTTATGAACTGGCAATTTTTGTTGTCAACCCTCCCATACCAATACAAAAGAATTCCTACAGCCCTGTATATATATACACACACATGCAGATTGTGAGATGAACAGGGTAGTGTGTGTTTGTTAACACTTGTATGTTGTAACTAATTGTTGTCCTATTTTTCATTAATTAGGGGGAAGGTCTAACAAGATTTGAATTATTGATCAACTTCTGCTCTTGCACCTTTAGTTAACCATATGTTGAGTTTCTATTGAGATAGATAAAGATAAGATTAGCATTAGCATGATTGTGAAAAGATTAATGTGGAAATAGCTTTAAACAGTTTTCCAGGTGAAAATTTCTTTGTCAAATAATGCCATATATCTGTAGCAAAGAAAGCCTTGTGGATTGTCAGAGAAGGTATTTTTCATGAATTTCAATATTAAATTAATCAGAAAAATGCTGCAATAATACAAATGTTTGCCAAAGACTGTTTTATGAGTATACAATTAGAATTTTGTAAAGTTGAAGCTTGCAACATGCTGTTCTCTAATTATGACACAGTTGAAGGAAATAGACATGTACATTGACTTTTGAAACAGCAATAAATGAATTGCTGATACAGTTAAAAGTATCTGGCCTGATAATTTATGACTTTCAAATGTAGCTAGTAACTCAAACTGTTCATTCCTGTAAAGAGGTCACATGTTCTTGACATGTTGATAGCTTGGCTTCTTTGCCTATGAGGTTGACCCAAAAATGTCTCTAACTTCACTAACAGATGTGAATTAACAGAAACTGGTTCATACTAAGTGAAAGGAAATTTTAATCTGTTTCTTTGATGCAATGTTGTGTGCTGTTTTGTTATATAACTTTGATATTTTATAAGTGAATGTGTACAAGTACTGCATTTTTCATTTTGAGCAAATGAGTGTAATTGATTTCTTTATAGTCACTTCCCAAGTTTGCTCATATGTAGAAAAAAATGTATGTGTGTATTTCACATGGGAAGAAAGATTCAACATGAAAAATTTAGTTGAGGCATTAGCATGCTTTGCATATTTTACATTGAATCAAGTTGCCACTCATAACAAGAAACTCACGTTAATGTTATTTTAAAACAATCGTCTTTTTGTGTGATTTATGAGCAGCTGTTTTACATCATTTTTTTACATACTCATAGAACTATAGTAATAATAAAAAAAAAGTATGATTGAGAGTGTACAAGGTCCTGGAAAATTTACTATAGAGTTTATATAGCACCTTCCTTGTTTGTTTTTTATAATGATCAAGTTTTCTGAGGTTGTGTTGTATACTAGCAATTATATACAGATATATTTCTTCTTCCTTCCTAGAAAATGTTTCCACACAGCTGTCGCGTTTGACAGATAGCAAGGTTAGCTTTGTCTCTCTCTAAATTACAAATATATGTGCAAATCATAAGTGAGTTAAACTAAAGTGTGTATGAATATAGAAATATATATATATATAGTTACATGGATAGTTTAACTCTAATGTGTACAGTCTAACTAATCAAACAATTCAAATGGACCTTAAGTATTTGTGTTCTACATTATTCTGGCTCTAGATCTGCGCGTGATTTTGAAATAAGTTGGATAAGTAGCAGTACAGACTATTCTGTGTACTCATGCTTTAGGCATGACATTGCTAAGCGGCAAGCTTCCAACGGGAAGTTAGCCTCTGATTCAGCCATTTGTTAAAAGTG